TCAATGACCATTTGAAGTTGTCAGGCTAAACCGATCGATTTATTTTTGAAGGGGATCAACTAGTTTTGGCCTTTCAAACCAAAACTTAATTTTTTAGAAAAATAATCAATTGATCCATTTTAGTGATGAATCGATCCATTTTTATCAATTTTGAATCATTGATATTTTTGTAAGAAAAATCGATTAATCCATTCTCATAGTGGATCGATTCATTTTGCCAATTTCAAATTCAATAACTTTTTTCTAAGAAAACCGATTGATCCATTTTTATCATTTTTAAATTTGAAACCATTCTATAAGAAAAACCAATTAATCACATTTTGAATAAATCGATCGCTTTTGGATTTTAAACAACTTTCTTAGTTTTTATCCAAGAGGGATCGATCTTATCCACAAGGTATTAATCCCTCTTCTTTAATTTTGTATAAAACATATCTTTAATGGAAAAAGAGATTTGTTTTATTCATGCAATTTTCATTTGAAAAATCTACTGATAAAATTTCTCTTTTTGAGTTCAAGACAATCTAATCCAAATTTTAACGTTAGTGTTTTATTATTTTAAAATAAGTATCAAATCAACACTAATATATAAAAAAATTTTATTATTTGAATAATGACTTAAGGCAAGCTTGAATTTAAAATTTCTTATTCAAAATCCAATTCGATCTTAGTCATATCAATGAGCTTGCTATATTGCGGGGAGCATGAACATATCTAATTATAACTTATTTTGATGAAATATTATTTAAAAGAGTGCTTAAATTTGAACAACCAGAGTTAGATTTAATATAATTTTGTTAATTAGTTGTGACTTCATTTTATTCGTAATGTGGAAAATCCTATTGAGCTTGATTCGAGAAAATATTACTCAATATTTTAAAGAGTTTAAATGAAAATAATGGATGAAGTTAAATATGGGTAGCATATACATACGAAGATTCGAAGATCATTTTAAATAAAGCAAGCAAGCCTATGCCATCCATCTATTACGTATAGCAAGAAGCCGTATGAACAGGCCATCATGCATTTCACATGATCACATTTTGATTGACTTTAGTATATATTATAAAAGTCATTTTTCTAGAATTTAATTCACATGCTGAAATTTAGCTCATTGAGCAAGGAATACATACATAATTGTTGAAATCCAAAATTTGTTATGGTTATTTATGGTGGAGGAGCATTGAAGTTCGTGTTTCAGGTGCATCATAGATAGATCTGCTCATGGGTTGGGTGATTCGTCTGAACTTAAAAGTTCATCCGAAATTTTGAAAGGTTGGATATGACTATTAAGTCTATTAAATAGGTTTGAACAAATAAATGAGATCTGATCAAAAATTAGGATCGAGTTTAGGTTTTACCATTTAAGGCTCGGATCCAATCCAGTCTGATCCAAAAATTAAAAAATATTTTTTATTATAATGAGATAAAATTCATTTGCTTTATTACTTATAATATGATAAAGCTTATTTTTTTTTATATAAAACAATAATCTAATTTTAAATTGTATTCAATAAAATTAAATTGGATTTAAGTATAAATGACTCTTAAATTCAATTAAAGTTAATTAAATTAGTTAAATTAATACTTAAAAAAAATCTCTAATTTTAAATATAAGTTCTTTAAGTGGATTTAAATTTTATTATTACGTATAAGAATGGGCTTAGGTAAAAAATGAGATTCGAAAAATCAGACCGAACCGAATCTAAACTTACTTAAAATACTAAACTATCATGTCAGACTCGATCTAACCTATAAACAAATCTAATCTTATAATTGGTTGCATGATTATTAACATATATATAAAATCATTTGATACAATATTTTTCCTAAAAATTGCTATTAGTCACAAAAAAGTCCATTGTTGGTTATGATCTTATTGGATTAATTAGGCTAATTAATTTGTCAGTTGCATTTAATTTCTACAATTTTTTTTGCCTCACTCCCTTGATGAATGAGCTCTTCTCCTCTTAATAATTTGTTTTTATATAGCATTCTGATCAGATTTTAGATCCAACACATGAGATAGGATGCCAAGATTTGAAAATTACAACATTTATATCTATTATTGACTAAATTAATATAATATATAGAATCCATAATTTACATAGTATACACACACACACACATATATATATATACACACATACACATTTATCAAGCCTTGATGATTGTTGTGTGTGTACAAAATAATTCAAGATATATATTTTCAAATAATATTAACAAGATTTTATATATTAGTATTAATTAAATGTCAAATACATTTTTACAACGTGTCAATATCTATATATTTGGATATACTTATATATTTAAAATCATGATATCGTTTTTCAATACCAATGTTTAAAATATGATTTTGCTTTTTATATATGATCAATAAGTTATTTAAATTTCACAAATGATTTTAAGGAATTATTAAGTGTATTTTTTTATTTTTTTATTTTCTTAATGTATCTTAAAAGAGTATACACTAAGCTATTAATCTTGCTTATAAATTTTAAAAATTTTATTAAAGATGAATGAGATAATTTTTTAAAAATTTTATATTTTCAAGTTATATATCATAGCAAAGAGGATAGTCTCATTACTTTGCAATGTACCGTGATCAATACCATTTGTTTGTAAACCTAATCATGTGTGGTGGAATTCATTCTAATAAATGATGATTAAAAACGTATTAAAAATAAAAAAAAAATGGAAGAGACAACCATAACCCAACCAACATGTCACGTCAGAGGGATTATTTAGTAGTGTATAACTTAAGTAAGTTCACTACAAGGATTTTTATATGTTTATTAATGAATAAAAAACGTAAATTATGTCAAAAAAAAGAGGAGTTAATTCATACATGAAAATTATTTTATTTGAGTTAAATATTAGTATAAAATATTGAAGAGCTTGTTTCCACGATCTTTCTTTAATTTATAGGTTTTCATTATTTATATGAATTAATCATTATAAAATCTAGAAGAATTAGCTGCCATGCATGTGTCTCACATTATCACATTTGTTTATCTTAATTGTAATATTACTATAATGATCATCGTTTTGTGAGGGTTTTTTTAAACAAAATATTTATAATAAAATAAATATAATATAATAAATAATAGTATTTATTAATAATAATAGTAAGAATAAAATAAAGATAATTATTTTAAATATTAATTTTTTAATATTAAAAACAGTAATATAAAAATTACATTAGTTAAAAAATAAATAAATTGAAATTTTAAAATTTTTTTTACTATGAAATAATATACTCAACTATAATCCCTAATACACAAATAATATGTGTAAACACCACATTTAATCAAGGGTTTTAGTTAGGGTTAAATTTATTTTTTATTTTTTTATTTTGGTTGTTTAAAAAAAAGAGCATCCCAAATTACAAAAGAAAATAGTTGAGATTAAAAAAAGATTAGAATCCTTAAAGGCGTGTTTTATTTGGATTTTTGAAGTTGAAATCAAGTAAAAAAGAATTTAGGTTAATTGTTTTCAAATTTAGACTCCTATTGAAATTAGGATTAAATGTCAATTTAAAAAACTTAAATCAAGCACGAAGGGGAAAATGGAAAAAAAAAATAAAAAGGAAAATAAAAATTTTTTGTAGTGATCTTTGGAAAGTTTTAGAATTGATGTTAGGTTTTAATTTTGAGAAAGGTTTGATTTAGGTTAGATTTAGGGAAACAAAAATCAAAATAGAGTTTAGGGAATTATTCTAAGAATTATTCTAGATTTTTTTGATACTTTGAATTTTTTGTTAAATTTTCCAATGATCCAAGTGAGTCCGCCTCCTTTTTTTATATCACTCTTTCCTTTTTTTTTTTTTTTAGCAAGTAAAATACAAAGAGTTTCATTCTTTGAAATTACTCAAAAAAAAATATATAGTTACAATACTTTAACTTCAAATATTCCATCAACTAAAAATTGATCAAACCTAACTAATTTACCATCGTTCCCCTGAATCTCTTGACCATTTTTTTGTTTTCTTTCACTCAAATGTTGCATATTTTGAACTAAAAAGTATAAAGGTATTTACGGATTGAGGTGAATTGGATTAAATCCAATTGATACTTTAAAAGATCAATACTATTCAAAATAATATTAAAAATTAAAAAATATTTGAATTTATGTTTAATATACTATCATATTTTATAAATTTTGAAATTAGAAAATATAAAGATAATTATGAATTGAGCTAAACTAGACCAAATCCAATTGACATTTTAAAAGATCAATATTATTCAAAATAATATTAAATTTTTAAAAATATTTGAATTTATATTTAACGTACTTTATATTTTATAAATCATTAATAAATTAAATTATATCATTTTATTAATAAGTAAATATCAATCTTTAAAATAAAATATAAAAATTTATTTATTAATGAAATAACATAATCTAGTTAATTTTATTAATAAGATAATATCATTCAATTAATTAACAGTGTATAAAATATGTACACTAATAATATATTAAATATAAACCCAAAATATTTTTATATTAATAGTTTAAAAATTTTAAATATATTTCAAAATTAAATTGAAATAAAAATATTTTTTATTAATAAATTAACATTCAAAGCAGGACTTAAGACTTGAAAATCCTTATCCAAGCTTATCCAAGAACATATCTTTTATGCAATCAAGCGTTGAATCAATTATCACTAACTTCCTCTAACCCTTTTTCTATCTTAGTCAGCTACTTATTTTTAGTTTGCCAAAAAACAATTGAATTCATTAACCCATATTTCTTCACTAGTTAAAAATCAATCGACAAGGCGAATCTCATGCAATTTAATTAAATTAAATCAATACTAATAGGATTTTTTTTTTCTCATAAACAAATTCCCACGAAAAAATAATCTGTTTGAAAATTTATAATTGTGGTGTGGGGCAGTGGGACTCGAATCAATAATATTCATAAATAGTAAAAGGAGGCTTTTTCTGAGCCCATGTGGTTCAATAAAGGAGGCTTTTTCTTTCTCGTTTTTTTGACAAAGCGAGTTTTGTCTCTTGTTGGTAAGGCCAAACATGGGCATTTTAGCTTTGGATACCTTGATGTTTTTGGACATTGAATAAAATTCTAATATTTATAATTTCTTAAGACTGTCTGTGATCACTGAAAGCTAATAGAACAAAGCTAACTGAAAACTAGAACATTAATGAGAAGAAATTGTTAATTACAAGAGAAGTGCATGCATGCGAGAAAGGATTGAATTATGAATTAATGTGGCAAACGTCAAGAAAGTTAAAAACAAGGTTTACCTGTCATTTGAATGAACCACTCCTAACAATATCTTTGCCTCCTCAAGAGTTGTACAAACGCTTTGTAAATCTTCTTCCATCTTTTCAGACAAGAAACCCGAATGACCCAATTGCTTTACCTTTTCGGCAGTTGTAGCTCTGAGTGTTTGCAACTGTTCTAGTCTCTTTGAGTCAAGCTGCAATTCTTCATCTACAATCTTCATCTCGGCTTCTGTCAGATCCATATCAAACACCTGCTGCTGATATTCGAGGATCAAAATTTCGATTTCGGTCTTCCCATTCTCTCCAATCTTGACAAGAGTTTCCATCTCTTGGATTACACCTTGTAGCGCAAGGTTCAACTCCTCCACTGACTGTGATCCTTTATGTACTTCCACCAGGACAGCCTCCATATCTTTCTCTACCTTCATAAGCTTCTTATTCAAATCCTGGAGTCTTATTTTCATGGCTGCCAGATTTTCCCGTGACAGCTTAATCTCATTTTGCAGCTTGCTTTTCTCTTCCTCGTTCTTCAGTAACTCGGTAGCTTTACCAGCAAAACACAAATTTCTTTGCGATGAGTCTGCTTTATCCAAGTTATCAATGGCAAATAAAACATTTTCATTCTCGTGTCTTTTACTTTCTTCCTCAAGTTTTGATTTCAAGAGGACAAGGTTGCTCCTTGCTTCAGCTTCAGATTCCCGTATGTTACCCAAGGAAGCCTCAATTTCACCCTTGGACTTCTTAAGATGAGCCAATTCCTCTTTCTTTTTGTCCAAGTATGACAAAGAAGCATTTAACCTTGTCCTCGCTCGAGCTTCTCGCTGTTCAAAGTAAGCAACTGAAGAAGAAAAGCTTGACAGAGAGTATTTGAGTGCTAATAACTTATTATAAGTTAGAGCTTTTCTTTCTTTTGCTTCTGAAGAAAGGAGTGCAACAGATTCAAGGTGTTGCTGCTTTTCCTTTATTCCACCTACCGTTACTTCAATTTCTCTGGAAAGCTTATCAATCTCACAAAACGCTTTCTCAAGGGAACCAAATTCAGTAACGGTCCTGGCAGAATCTGAAAGTTTTTCCTGTGCCTGTTCCAGTATTGCTCTGGCAGAATTTAAACCTTCTGACATCTTTGCAGTTTTGGTATCTAGTTGGTCTATTTCCATGTAAGAAGTCGTAGTATCGTCAATCTGATTCCCTACTTCTGATTGAAGATCTGCACGCACCTCCACATTGGAAATCACTTCAATAGGACCAAGTGTATTCAACTTTAGATTGTCACCTGCATCCTGCCTATTTGATCCGAGGAGACCAGCTTTCCCCTCCAAATCCTTTGCCCCAAACTCGAGATGAGCTTTGTCCAAGCTGTTTTCCCCTCCATCGACTTCAACTAGCTTCTCTGGGCATTCAAATTCTCTATCTTTCCTTCTGTCCAGATTTCCAGGAGAAAACATTCTTTTTAATTCATCTCTCTCCTGCATGGCTCTTTCATACAAACCCATTAATTTTTCATTTTCTTCATGCATTTCCATAAGCTGTTGTTCAAGGTTATCAACAACCTTCTTCAACTTAAGCTCTTTTTCTTCACTATGTTCATCTAAACCAGCATCAGTTTGATCCACAGTGTCATTTTCATGAGAAGTGTCAGCTTCATTCAAACTTCTATAACCGCTTTCGGCAGCCTTCTGTTCATATAATTCAAGGAGTTGTTTGTTATCCTCAACGTAGCCCTTGAGCTTAATTCTTAGTTCATCATTCTCTTGAGACAACTTAAATGCCCTCTCATGAGCTTCTGCTTCTCTCTCACTTGCAGCAGCAATGGCATCAACCATTGTTTTAAGTTCTATTTGATCGTTAAGATTGATCATTGGCACATCCTCCGACAATGAATGAAGCTTTGTTCGCTGTACTTCTTTCACTGGTCTTGAAGATCTTTCTTCTTCAAGTTTCTTAAGTAGATCATTCACATACCTGCCAAATTGATAAATCAATTTAAGGGCAATTCGTAACGTATCTGATTCTACATGACTACCAATTTCTTTTGATTGTACACTCTCTTAAGGTAGGAATAAACTTATTCTTCCATGTATATTTCATGTTCATCAATTAGAGCTTACCTTTCCAACTCTTCTTTCTCTTCAAGGCAAAAGCCAAGTTTTTTCTGGAGTGCAGCCATTTCCGCCTGGTTGTGAATAGCCGGTTAAAAGAAAACATTTATCATTGAACCAAATGAAATTCATGGTACTGGATGAACAGGTTCAAAGTAACAGATTCATCCAAGCATAGCTACCTGCATTCTAAGGAACTCATTTTCCTCCTTAAGCGAAGAGCACCATGCTGAATCTGGCTCCTGTTTTTGATATATATCAATTCTTTTAGGGAGAATTATGCAAAAGTCCATTATGAAAAATAACCAAGAATCATAATGTAGTTCTATATTATTTTGCATTTACATCCTTCCTGTTTCTTCTGTTTGCTGTGGAATCAATTTAAAAATGTGCAAAAATAAAGAACCTTTACTCCTTGAGCTTTAAATTACAGAAGTTATATACATCAATAGGACTGTGTACAAGTTTTATTTACATCATAAGCTTTAAATTACAGAAAATATACAAGAAAAAGCTGTTATTTCATTAAGATATTGCATTATAGAAGATAACCAACTGATGCAACGAATGTTAATCTAAGCTCGGTTGTCTTAATCAGGTTATATTGAATGCCACAGTTTCCAAAGATACAGATGTATAAGAAAATAACAACGCTAAGAACTTAGAAGTGCAGCGGACAATAGATAAATAAGTACTCACATGACTAGAGATCAGTTCATTGCTATCATCAGTACCTCCTAGCACCCCTTTAGAGTTCATTTTCTGCATTGCATGAACATTAAAATCAAGATTGAGAAAATTTCTTCACAAAATTTACTCATCTTAAAATCATTACAAGGCTTACGAAGAACCTCAATTATGAAGGAATCTGCTTCATGCATAAGTTTCCAATCAAGTGCCTCTAGCAACTGCACATTAGTCAAAGGAGTAAGCATCACTTGCAGTAAATAGCAATATTGACCATGAATTCTGGAGTAGAAAAGTATTTGAAGATCTTATTTGCACACCTTATTCTGTAACACCTTAAGCTGTTCATTCATCATCTCCTGTTGACCTTCCTCACAAGTGGACTTTAATCTGTGAGTAACAACAAAGATCAGAGGCATGCTATTAGTATTCAGTTTTTCCTGCTCATACAGAGAAGAATATAACTCGTATTATAAGCCAAAAATAGCAAAAAAATGAAAATATTAAACACAATTGTGGAAGCAAGTGAGACATATTTCTGACATTTAAACCAATATGGATAAGGATTAGATTTATCCTCACAGTACATGTAAATTGTCACCCGGAAAGTTATGAAATCAAAACAAACATCTCAAAGGTTTTCTTTCCCTTTCACTTTTAAAGCCTCAAACACTTTACAAAATAGTTTTCTTTCAAGGCATAAGAATTCATCATATCTGACCCCAATACTGGTTTGCTTGCTTATAATAACAACTATGTTTAGAATTTGTAATTAAACCTTATGTTCTCAGCTGTAGACTGACTAAAAAGATTGGAGAATGATTGAATTAAAATGGACAATCTAGAGCTTCATCAGTAAAACATGCCTTCTAATCTCTTCCTTTAATCGCAAATTCTCCATGGCAAATCTTGTAACTTCTTGGTTGCGATCCACTTGAGCTCGTAAAACCTCAATTTCCTTCAAATATTCCTCCTTCTCTTTTAATAAGTGTGTCTCAGCAGAAATCTTTCCAGAAGCAACTGCCTCTAGCCTCTTAATTCCTGCTTCTCGAAACCGTAGCCTCATTTTCAAGCTTTGAATCTCATCTTCTCTTTGTTTTGCCTATCAACAGAAAGTACCAAATTATATTAAATTTTAATCATACATATTAAAACAACACAAGAACAAGCTCGCAGCATTATTGAATATATTAAATCATACATATTCATCAAACGAGCTACCAAAGTTGCAAATTCCTTCTTTTTGCAACTCTTTTTTTCTCACTTGTTTACTTCAAAATATTTATTGTTTACTATACATCCCTGAAACCTACAAAATAAATAAAAGATATTTCTCTCACGCATACCAACTGCATAGCAGCCTGATTTTCAGCGGTCAGTGCCTGTAAAGCTGTTTCTTTCTCCCTTTCCCTCTTGAAGGCCCCTACAAGAGCAACTTCATAGTCTCTCTTCTGGAATACAAAACCATACAAGGAAGAGAAAAAATTAGTTTACCAACAACTTTAGAACCCATATTCCCTCAAAAATAAGCAAGATTTCTGCATACCTGGGATATCCTTTTATCAGATGGAAGCGGACTGAGTGATCCATGAAGACCTTCCCACTTAAAAGACCCTGGTGATGCTGGAAAGCTTAATGCCAATGTGTCATCCAGATTTTCACCCCTGCCATTAACAAAACCTTGTAGACGCGATACTTCTTTCTGAAAAACAAAATTTTAATTATTTAAGGTAACTAGAAACCTCAAAATTATGGTAACCATGTAACAGAAATAATAAAAATAAATTATTGAAACTTTGGAATGATGTCCTTGATGCTTGAAATTTCCTAAACCAAAATTTATTGATTTTGCCTTTATTTTACGTTTGCTAATTAAACATTACCAGTGTAGTTCCTCAATAAAAAGGGAGGGAATTTAGGGGAGAAAACAGAAAGTAGAATGAAACTCAGGTGGATGAATAGAAGTTGAGTAACCAAAAATGAGCAAACCGCTTACTTATAGAATAACATTCTTGATTACTGGAACCCAAACAAGTAGATTTGCATTAATTCTACTTGATTAAATCCAAAATCAATACTGATACTACATATGCTTACTTAAATTACATTATTGATCGCAGGAATCCAAACAAGCTAATTTTCCATTTATTTCAAGTTTAAATCCACATTATTTTGTTTAAAACATTTATCAACCTACTTAATGAAATCCTAAATCAATATTGATACCACCTTTCAGTTCGTGTAATTTCAAAGATCTCTACATAAAAACTAAAAAAGGTAACCTTGCTTAAACTATCATCATACCAAAAAAAAATATTAGGGTATTTCAAAAGATAAAAAAAATAAAGTAAACATAAGGATACCTTCAGCTGTTGAATTTGCAGCCTCATAGCAACAACATCTCCAGAAGCATCTTCATTTACAACTGCCTGAACACATTAATTCAATGTCATTCCAAAAGAATGGCATCCAAAAGTTAAAAGCATTATTAATTACATAGTCATGACAGGCTCTAAGGTCAGAATTCCCATTGAAAATTGAAACCACCAAATATATTGAGTGCATTTGATGATCTAACAGAAGAAGCTAAAAATTCAGGATAGTCACACAAATTATGTATGTAGTGTGCCATGTATTGTACTTAAAGTACAATAAGCAAAGATCTCGTACATTGTTCTTAATAAATTTAGCCCGCTGTGCAAACTTCAATGTGCTTAGCGTCTCGAGTGAACAGCTGCAGTGTATGCCCATAAAAAAATCTCATTTATAATATGCACTTTAATAAAGCAAGTTAAGCTTAAAAAAAGAAAGAATAAAGAATAAAAATGCATGTAAAATTCCACTCATTGTGAAAATTACAATAAAAAACCAGGTTCATTCATGCAAATGGAAATTTAAAAGTGAATGTTAAAATCACAAGCTAGTGCAGAAACACCCAAATATACATTCCACTAACCAATTGGATGGACTGATATTTGCAATTATGATTGTTTTTGCATTCCCTCCTAGAGAATCCTGGAAGGAAAATAGCAAAACATGATTAACTTTCTGTTACGTAGCAAATCCTTGACTTATACAGAAAATTAAAAATTCTCAACAGAAAAATTGAATGTTTTGTCCCATAACCACTATAGTCCTACAACAAGGATTCATATTGTAACTGAATTTATGTCAAAAAGTTACTTTAATGGAAATATACCACTTTACCTGAAGCAAAAAAGTGAGTTTTGAATCTCGATAAGGAACATGGAGTGACTTCCCATTGGAAATATTTACAAGGTTCATAATCACAAGTCTGACAATGAAAATTTGTGTATTAGAGAGTGATATTATGAAAATAAAGAACATAAAATATTTTATTAAAAATTTAAGTAGAGATAACTCACCCCAATGTTGAAAGAGATTTGTTGATATTAGTGGCCTCCTTGAGGCGTTCACCTTCAGCCCCAGAACTCTTCTGTCTGTACGAGAAAAACATTAATTATATAGCATAGTGAAACACAAGAAAAATTGTTGATTTCTTTAATACTTCGACATGCTTCTGTACCTTTCAGAGCCTGCTAAATCAACAAGATTAAGCCGAGCAAAACGGTGGTGAGTTACACCCTGAGATTCCCACTGATAATAAACACTTGGTTAGAACTTTCTTGTCTCATGGTAAAGATAAAATATCTAATGAAAGAGAATAACTAATTATCAAATTATTAGTGATTTTAGAAGAAATTCTTCAATTAAAAGGTCACACACCTTACTTTCAATTATGCATGTAAATACACTGTGGGAACGACTGCTCGCTCGATTCATGTTAGTGGCAGCCACCTTTCTATTTGCAGCGCCCTGCAATATGTTGTAGAGCTTTAGATTAATAATAAGTTTGGTAAAGAAGTAAAAACGACAATAAAAAGATAGAACAAAACGAGGGCCAAAGTGAAAAAAAAAAATTACTAGTTGCTTATACATTAAAAATAAACTCTAGAAAAACCTTTTTAACTGTATTTATGTTTAGAGCTTTTAACTTGGGGTCTTAAGTTTGAACATCTAAAACTTGGATTTGGATGTGCTTTACAGCTACCAAAGTACCCATAGCCCAAAGCCAAAAAAATTTGATTAATTAACTAACATCGTACTTGTATGAGCTGTTGAATCACATCACGTGCACTTGTAACTTCTATCTCCTTGAGATTCTCAACATAAACCCCTTTCTTGATGTCTTCTCTTATCTGCAATAACCACCCAGGAGTAGTAAATTTTAGTTTAGGAAAAGAAAAACTTGTGTTTCATACTATGTATCATCGAATATAAACTATTGATATCATGAAAGGATAAAAAAGATAGATAACTGTTCCCCATGATATGTAGGTTATTTTTACCTGTAAATTGGTTGATGATGGATCCAAAAGATCAAGAATCTGTTCATTATATATTTCCAAAAATGAACATTTACAAGTAAATCTTAATTTCTCGTCTTTACGAGCCTCTTTTTCCTGACATATCACAGAATAATATATGAGATAACATGATAAGAAAAAGAGAGATAATAATAAAAGTGGTATAGAAAATCATGAACTCCTAACATAGAGAAGCAACTATTTATTAAGTTTTTCATAGAAACTTTGTTCATTTTATTTTCTTATACAAATCCATTCAATGGCCATTTCCCTTCAATTGACAAATGAATGCTGATGCAAAGGTGTTTTTCAGCATAAAAAACTATTAGGTAAGCAAAAAAACTAATAAAGCTTAAGGTTTCTTCGAAACATATAATGCTTCTCTATGACAGATTTGCTCTGTGACTACTACATAATGGAGTTGAGCGCAAAATTTGAGCAAAGCTTTTTAACTCATTCAATTTGCAAAACTAATTCTTTGCTCCATCCATCATTTGTGGTTGTCTAGATAGTCTAGTTGTCTAAATGATCAAAAAGAGAATTTATTTTACAGTGGAAGGAAGTGTATTGCACCCAAGAAAGATGAGAGGTTATTTAAAATTACAATATGCTCAAGTCAAAAGGCACGTGTACCACACCTTTTGTATTCTTGTAAATAAATATTCAAAGACCCTAGGCGTCATCCCACAATTGACACTGTGTCGCCTAGTGCCTCCCTCAATGTCTCCAAGCATTGTGTGAGTCTTCCCACTTCCAGTCTATACAAAAATTTTTTAAGTTAAGCCAATACCAAAACAGGAACCAAAATAAAATCAACTCAAATTAAATCAGTTTAGACGATAATAAGCTGGAAAATTAATCAACCATTCATGGAAATAATAGAAAAACTTTTACTCGGACTGATTAAAACTTGGAAGCTCACTTGGCCATATGCAAACATGCAGCTGTTGTAGCCTCCCATGCAATTGTCCACCATGGGCAATCCAGCCACTTTGAAGAGATTCTCCTGTAAAATCACTTAAACGTCATAATTTCGCAATAACAATTACCCAAACCAAAAAAAAAAAAAAACAGATTATAAAGAGGCATACCTGGCTAACTTGTTCATCAGCAACAAGATCAAATGTAAAACGGGACTCCGGGTGTCCCGTCCAAATAATTGTCTGACAACTCTCTTGCCTAACGCACTTGCTGTAGCCTTGTATCGAGATTTCGGAACTACTAAGGGGACGAATCCTGATGATAACCTAATTTAATTTCCCAAAAGCAAACAAAATTTCAATCCAATTAGCTTAACTTTGATCTATCCTCCATAATCATATGCCTACGGATGGCTTTCCTTTTAGCTACTTGGCTTTTTACTTGCAAAATTAAAAAAAGAAAGTTTAAATATTAAAAAACAATGTTTTTTAAATAATTACTAAGTTTTGGGTATTTAGAACATTTTTTTTCTTTTATTTCATTAAGAAAATTACAGATTAGATTCAAACGTTTCAGCTGACCTGCACATTGTGGTCCTTCCAAAACGACGGATCTTGATGGAACTCAAAGCTCTGGGATGACTGCGGTGCTGGTTCATTCGCCTCAGGCGCATCCTCGTCCCAGTCACCGATGCTCCGAATTGCCGACGAGGCGGTGGTGGAATGGCCTGTGTTCTCCCTCACCGCTGATTTGACTATAAGATCCAGCGGACTACGAATCGACAACAACGAGACCGACTCGAATGAAGAGGATCGGTCGTGGAAGCCGAAACGGCTCTTGATTGCGCTCGCCGTATCGGAAAGGAACGGCATATTGAATGGAAACGGCTTCTTTAAGTGAAAGTGAGGTGTTTATCGTCTGAGAGAGAGATTTGAATTTTGAGGTTGAGGAGTGTTTGGGATGAGGGAAAGCTGGAGAGTAAAGAGTGAGATTTGAAATTTTTTTCGAACTTTTTTTTGAAGGAAAACGAAGGGGAAGAGAATCTCAGATCGGACGGTGGAAAGAGGTTTCAATGGACGGTGAAGATGGGAATGTGATTTTGAAATTGTGGACCGTTGGGGAATGGTTGAAAATTTTGAACTGGGGACGAGTGGAGCCATTTGGAATCTTAAACGAAGGAAACTTCAAATTGCCGAAATTTGCCGAAAATTTAAAACGTGGCTTCGTTGCTTCGAGGCTTCGAGCCGCTACATAGGAGGATAAAAATTAAAAGTAAAAGCCCATTACAGATCAGTGTATCGGCTGGGCGGAATTCCGATTGAGCCAGATAAGATATTAATAAGTTCTATATTGGCTCAAGCCTGATTTGATCCATATGGTCTCATCCAGTCATTTGTTGTTTAGATCTATTTAAATTTTAACTTTTTTCAAATAAAAATTAAAAATAATTATAATATAAATTAATTATGACAAAATAGATTTTTAACAAAATAAAACTTTAAAAAATGAATTTATTAATTTAATTTAGTGTTTGGATGATATTGATACATGTAAGTATAAAGTATTAATATATACACATATATTATTTAATTATTTATTTATTTTTATTAATATAGTTATAAATATAAATAAATATAAGAGGGATCAACTTACACCAATATAAAATTTTTTATTTTACATTTTCTTTAATTATTAATTTCATAGATTTAAAAGATAAAAATAAATTATTTTTTTAATTTTAGACTTTTATCTCTTATCTTATCTATAAATCTATTAAAATCAATAATTAAAAAATTTTATACTGATATAATTAAATCTTTCTCTATATATAATAATTATTAGAATCGATGAGATTAAATTTGAATCTTAATTATTATAATCAAAGCTTGACCCAATTTAATGAGTCTAATATTCATGTCTAACCCAAAATTCGAGCTAAAGATAAAGAAATCATAATATATGAAACAAAATCTCAAATTTTAATACTTCAAGTATTTCCTCGAGGGAAAAAAAATAATATATCATGAATTCTAGCCAATTTTTTCGTCTATCTTAAGCCATGTTAGAATATCACCGTGTTAAAAATAGGAGTTTCTTGACTATTTCACACGTGTATATTACACAAGCTGCTTAATAACTTCTGCATAAATGCCGTTGCATTAGAACATACTTGATAGTAACAGTTGGCCTGCGCCAATACCAATTACCATATACTGATCATGAAAAAAGAAAAGAAATTTACAATCCATATCATGGAAATTACCAAAAGTAATTTACAGTATTTCAGTAGCAGCAGCTAGCAGCAATGACAACAACAAAGGAACTTATAGAATCTAAATAATCTGATGCATCGAGCATGGTGTATTTTGCTAAGTAGAAGGAAAGTTTTTTTTTCTGAAAAACTCTAAAAGCAGGCCATCAATGCCGAAAGACATATTAGACATAATTTATTTAGAAATCAAAACTTTAGTAATTTTATGTAATCATTCTTAAAAAGTGATATTTAATAAATTTAAAATTCGAATTCTAACACTTACGACTCTTTCTTCCGATATCCCAGACCACAACCTAATTTGTAAAAAATATATATATTTATAATTCATAAAATCGGAGAAGGGGTTGACCTATTAAGCGAAGTATAAGCTAGACCTTTGGGTTCTCAGCCTCGGTAGATTTACAATTGCCCTACTAATTTAGCTCTCACATGACCTTGTGAAATCTGGAATTGTTTTGTCAAGCCAGGATGTGGCATTTATTATCAGACATGAGTGAGCAGCTCTCCACTTCGTCTAAGTTGCTGAGCATGTTGATTCCATCTACATTGACCGGCAGCATATGACAGCATTTCCACCCATACATGACTTACTGAGTCCCACTTCTTCTGTTTGCCACTGCCTCTCTTCTTCCACTGATCAATGCAATTCTTTGGCTAGTCTGCATGCATCACAAATAGCACAGATTTGCTTCTGTCTCCTCTAATTGCAGGTTCAGTTGTGCTGTCCACTTGATGTAGCTTTTCACAAGCTAGAGAGAGGTATTTGTATTGGGATAAAATTCACATATGAATAAAAAATTTCACATCACTAAAAAATCTGAATGAGATATCTTATATATATATAAGACCCAAGAATCTAATAGCTTAAGTTTTTAGACTCAAGTGATGTCCAATATGTATGTATGGGTTCTCTAATATGCTCATGTGGCTTTAAATGTAACAATCTCCCCAACAAATGGTATCAAAGTCAAAGTTACGAGTTTTAGTCCTAGTAGTGTTGCTGGAAAGAGATTATTGACAAATCGAAAGTTGACCACGTCCATCTACTCCATGTACTCTATCATCGATATCAACGTAAAAAAGGTTCAACTTGAATGCAACGAGTATAAGATAATATATAAAAGACTACATCCATCAATTTTATGTACTCAAACATTGGTATCAGAGTAAAAAAGTTTTAACTTGAATGCAGCAAGTAAAAGTGAAACATCCAAGTGGGCTATGTATTAAGTCAACTTGGAATGCAAACTTGAAGGCTCACTAAGACAACTTATGTGGCAAAGTTGAGTGCACTAATTGGGCCTAAAAACACCCAAGTGAGTGATGTACTTAGTCAACTTGAAATGCAAGCTTGAGAGAGCACTGAGAAAATAGAGGTGGCAAGGTTGAGTGCTGTGACGGGCCTAAAAACATACTAGAGATGTGATGTTGCCAACTCAAAAGAGGTGTTGATAGGACTTATTCGCACGGATGTGCTTGAACACTGGTATCAGAGTAAAAAAGGTTCAACTTGGATGCAGCGAATATATATTTATGATGAAGCCTAAAAGCACACTAGATATGTGAGGTTTGCCTAACTCAATGGAGGTGTTGATAAAACTTATTCACACAAATGTGCTTGAATGCCAATATTAGAGTAAAAAAGGTTTAACTTGGATACAATAAGTATATGATAATATGTGGAAACGAAACACTTAAGTGAGTGATGTATTGAGTCAACATGGACCAAATTAGTGATATATTGAGTCAACCTTGAGTACAAGCTTGAAGGGGCACTAAGAAAACTTAGTTGATAAAGTTGAGTGTTGTAACCGGGCCTAAAAGCATACTAGAGATGTGAGATTGCCTAACCCAAAAAAGTTGTTGATAAGACTTAATCGCACGGAGAAGTCAAAGTGGAATTTAATCAGAACTCACAAGTGAATATGAAAGATTATTATGATAAAGTTCACGTGTGAGTAAAAAATCTTACATCACTAAGAAATCTAAATAAGATATTTTACAACACTAAAAAATCTAAATGAGATATCTCACAACACTAAAAAATTTTAATGAGATATCCTATAAATGGTGTCCAACATGTATATATAAGCTCTTTGGTGTGCTCTTGTGGCTTCAAATATGACTTTATCTCCCCTACAATTTGATATGAATTTTCTTTTTTGAATGAATTCTATTGCCTCACAAATTGTATCTTGAAACATGACCTGCCCAATGCCAGTAGGTATCGTAAAAGGCTGCTTGACAAGAAGTCAAGAATGTACATCAACTATTCCGTTATTGACTTGCTAAATATACATCTTAAATCAAGAATAGAATTTTGATTCCTTTTCTATCATAACAATATATAGCAGAGAGTTGTAGCAATATGCCATAACAGAATGCTATGATCAAACTCGACTTCAATGCTCCAACCAAATTTATCTATTCTTTAAGACAAGGAGATGCATCCACTGAAGTCGCATTGCCATGAACATGTTTGTGAATCCAGACATGCCTTTCGACTCCATGGCAACCATAAGGCTCACCTTTGAAGCAAGAACCAATAAGACAAGATTGTTCCATATAATCTGACCACCTGTTCTTGCTGGTTATAAATTTGAATGTAGATATGGCTTTATAAAACTGGTTCAATGGAAATTTCTCTTGTTTACTTAGCGAAAGCAATGTTCAGTCCAATGAAAGCAGCACAAGGATTGCATTAATCTCAAGGAAAATAGCTCCAAAGGGCAACAAAATTCTATACACAGTCAACACCTGTCAATCATGCTGAAAGTTGCTAAGGCAATAAAAGGATAAAAAATTAGGGTTCTTAATTTTTTTCACATCTGATTAAAAATTAAATTATTTGATTGTGTTTCGATTCGCTACTTTGATTTTAAAATAAACATATTTACAAATTAAGCTTGTAGGCTTTTTAAGAATGAATTCATTTGGTTTTTTTTTTTTTTTCTAAATTAACAAGAATTTCAATTTTTTGATGAGTTCGTAAACAAAAACATGATAATAGTTAGAATTTGAGAAGCAAATATTAAAGCTATGTTTTTTGGATACATAATGAACCCTATATGGCTATTAAAGCTATGTTTTTTCGGGTATAGCTGGACAAAGAAATATCTTCTAAGAAAATCCGTATCCTTCTCCAACAACGATTTCTATATGGCGGTAAAATACAAACTTCCTCGATCATATATGAATTAGATTTATAATTAGCAAATTATCAAATTTAGACATCTCTAACACAGATTTGTATATGGGTGGCATGTAATTAACTTTTGTGAAGGAGGGCAAGATAGAAATTTTATTATACAGTGAAAAACTCTATATATAATGGAGTATGGCAACGTAACGGGTACCTGAACTAGTTAGACTCAGTGCATCCATAACATGTTGATCATTTCTCCTCTTCTGTTCCCATTGGCCCATGGCTTCCGCTTTCGTCCCACCAAAAAAGAGATTTTGTGCTTTTACCTTCCCCAAGCCATTAGTGGAGAGCCTCTGATTTTGCCTTCGAGTACTTTGATTGAGCGTGAGATTTATGGTGATAATAGGGAGCCCTGGAATATTTTTGACAAAGATGAAAATGCTTCTTTTTGGGTTTTCACCAAGTTGAAGAAGAAGAGTAAATCAAGAATTGATAGGACTGCTGGTTCTGGAACTTGGCTTGCTCGAAGCACCAAAGAAGTTAAGGATGAACGTGGTCAGCTTTTAGGGTTTGAAAAATATTTCACTTTTATATGCAAGAAAGATCAGTCAAGCCGAGGCATCAATGGCAATTGGATTATGCATGAGTTTTCCTTAAGCGACCAGGGTTTGAGCGATTATGTTATTTGCGAAATCAAAAATAAAGATGCTGTGGCTGTGGCTGTGGCTGTTGGTTCA